AGAATGTTGAATACCTACTGTGCTAACGTATCAACGACACGAGTAAAGTAAGGATGAAGAAGATTGAGAAGCAGGAAATAGAAGTCTCTAAGTTTACTAGGAGGTAAACTACGCACAACCACCACACTCACTGTGCATGCAAGTGGGGGAAATTCAGGAGGCCGTCCGCACGAGATGCGTCCGCCTATATAGGGAATATCCGGCAGAGTATCCGACGAGTATCCGTGGTTCCGGATCCTCATGGATACAACAGTATGTGAGGGATAAGAATCATGCGCTGGGTGATAGAGACTATGACTTCAATTCACGAACTCTCTGCACGGATAGTGTAGAGAATCTGTGGTCGTTGATCGGCCATCTGAACAAGAAGGATTTTCTGAGAAAATTCAATCAGGCATGCATAGAATTATCTAAAAAGGTGGATCCAAACCTGCCTTTTGTATACGAGCATTCGAAGAAGCGAATTGTCCTGAGCAAACCGCACGACCGTGAAGCTTTCAATGCACGGGATGGATCTGATAATGATGTGGAGCCACACAATAGTACGCAGAAGAACAATCGAAAGCGAGTATATGCTAAATCAGGGCAATGGGATGAAGGATCAACAGGTAATATGCAACGGTTCCGGGGATTGCGTAGCATTGCTGGCTGCAAGTAGAAAAAAGTACGTATTGTGGAAAATATTAAACACTGCTACGATGCAATTCAAATGATTGATACCATGATATAGATTTTACAATTTCCTGATAGGCTATGGTGGTTTCACGATTGTCATCATTGCACAGGCTGAATTAATCATCCTTAAACCTGGTCGCCGCCTTGCTGCCATTGCGATTTCCTGCAAACTCACCCACCCCCTCCTGAAAAGGTACCCCCAAAATATCATACAAAAATACCGGTACTAGACCCTTTTATTGGGAGTTCCTCCCCCGTGCTTCAGCCCCGCCTCAGACCCCCTGGAGGCCCGCCAGGAGGCTAAGTGTCCGGAGATTGGCCGGGGGCCTGATCTCTCCGGGCGGCCGTGACCGGTCAGCGGACCGTGTCAGCAGGCCCGTGACATGTCAGCCGGCTGACAGGGGCCGTGACCCGGCTGACAGGCTCACCTGACCGGTCACGTGACACATCACGTGACCGAGACAAGACTTTTTTATATCGCAGATCCAAAAACCCATAGGACATTTCTCCCAGGGGGAAGAAAACCTCCCTTGACCCCCCTGTTTCTCGACGGATCCTGCCGGCCGGGCCGGTCAGTAGACCGACTGCAGCCTTCAGCCCCGCCTCAGACCCCCTGGAGGCCCGCCAGGAGGCTAAGTGTCCGGAGATTGACCGGGGGCAATGGAGTGCAATCGGATGCAAGTGTACCTGGAGAGCGTAACCGTCCAGAGGCACTTCATCTTCCAGTTCTTCAGCAAAATGCACCTGAGGACGGCGCTTAGGCGTCTTCGAGCGAGCAGCAATCTTGTTAGCGGCAACGGACGGAGCAGCCTTGCGGTCGTTGGGGATACCATACACAGCAAAGGAGTACTGAATGGTTTGAACCCATGTCAGGACATTGTTGGCGCTAGTTTGCGGGCAGTATCCAACTTGGGGAGATTGCGCAACTTAGCAAGCAATTGCTGATCAGCCAGAGAGACCAGCGGAGGACCGTCACGCGAGGAGATGGGGGGCGGTCCAGGCTTGAGAGCGGCGGGCGGGACCGCCGCAGAGGAGGCGGGGCCTTCGAGAGCACTGAGGCGCTGCTGAACCTCCAACAGCGCAGCAGACATGTTTTGGAAAGACCGATCCTCGGTCGATTCAGGACGAAGATCGTCGTCAACGCCGGCAGCAGATTGCCAGTCATGTTCCAAAGTATCCGGAGCATTCTCGTCCAGCATGCGAGCTGCGAGTCGAGTATTGTATCCGGACATCTACGCGACGTAAGCGTAGGAAGAAGCAGAAGAACAGTGGAGAAAGGGAGGAGGAGAGAGAAGACTCGATCTCTATCACCGATCACAACCTTGCTACCAATTTTATGTCACACCTCGAAGATTCTCGAGTGGACCTTCAAGCGCAGTTCATATAAGAACTCACGTTGGATTTCTCTACTAAGAGGGAAAGCGGTGAAACAGAAGGAGATCTATCTCTCTTTTATTTCTTTCACACACACACACAAAACAAGACAAGACGATAAGAGAACCCCGTCCTTGCATGGCAGCAAGCTGCTTCCAACGGGTCGTACTGCACAAGACGCACCCCTTCTGTTTACCTTGTAAGTCCCCCACGGGTACACGGTTGCTGCAACAAAGGCCTCCACAGGGGTCCTTTCAGCAGCTTCACACTGGAGTAGAGTATCCTGGGTCATCCAGGAGAAGTCAGCTTCGAACACGAGTACGAGACAGCCAACTGTCCTTTCATCCTGATAGGCCTTTGTCTGACTCGGGCTCGGTTCCTATGAGCTCTGACAGCATCGCAGATAGCTTAGGGTATTTCACAACCCGGTTTCGATTGCAACGTATCCCTGTGATGGTGATTTTCACTTGTATTATTGATGCTCTTCGCTCACCAAACGATTTTCGTGAGATCCACGCACTGTACGAAGCACTCCTCAAGGATCATCATCTCTACACCTTAGGAATTTCCCATGAGGATGTTCGGTGAACATCTGATGTCTGCACACGCTGCCGCGGGCTCGCTGTTTGCGAGCCATGGTTAGGGCAGTACAGAGCGGTGCGACGTGCCCCGAACAAGGGGAGGCTCATGGCGTGTACTGAGAGAGGTCGTTCAAACTTGTTTATAAAATTGTACCATAAGAAGGCTCTACAAATAAGTTAGTAGACTACCCCATGATCTCAGTGTAACTTCTGGGGTGCAGCCCTACTTCTCGGTTTATACTCAACCATTCCACAATACAGTCTAAAATATCTTATTGGAAAACAACATCAGAGTTATAAACCTGAAATTTGGACCCTGTTTCAAATCCTCAAACACGCCACCCCCCAATCTACATAGAAAGCAGAACAACCCCCTCACGGGAAGACATACAGCCCAAATCAGAAAAAGCAAAATGTCAACGCTATGGTTGGGTCTCTGCTACGCCGCAAAGTCCCGCTTCACCCGCTGATCGCCCATGGCTCTCCGGGGACTTGATCGGGCATATCTCGGCTAATACTGGTCGGATGGAGGTGATCTTAGGCTCAATCGAGAGCTGCGGGCCCCGCGCGTGCATTGCAGGCGATAGGCGCTGCAATCTTGTCCTCGTTGGGTCTCTGCTACGCCGCAAAGTCCATGATATGTTGCAATAGGGTTAAATTAAGAAAACAATCAAGTTGCTACAGAATGTAACAATTCTTAATATGAAGCAGTCCACCAACCTTCCTGTCAAATTTTGCAACCATATAATCCTGTTATGAATGAAGGCTTCACGAATAATATCACTTATTATGTGTTTTCATATATTGTAAATTTGTCTCACCTGGTTGACAATTTTATGGCAAGTGTTCATAATTGGCAGTCGTGCATTCTACGAAGGCTTGCGCTGAGATTGCGTCTCCTGCTCACTCTGCGGTACTAGTGGATCATCCAGGAAAAGAAATAAGATTTTTGAGCTAGCCTGGATTCTTTGCGAAGCTTAAGTCGTGACAAGAACGATTTTTTGAATTAAATGTTGGTAGCAAACACCCGGTAAGTTTGTCTAGGACTATTTGTGCTGTCAACTGCACGAAGTCAGCATTCACGGGAGGATTGAAATGTCACGCATACAACAAGTTTAATCCGCAACGTTATAGAAAGAAAGAGACCATTCGACCAAATCCCTTTCTTCGTGCTTACAACGCTTATGACAGCAGAATCGATGGTCGCTGACTAGCAATATTTTTTGATTAGCAAATCGAAAACGCTTAGGATTTTCAGGAATTCCTGAAGCATGTTTGGTATGATTTTGGTCGAAAATTCTTCGATTGTGATCTCATAATAAGAAAAGCTGGCACTCACTTTCTTGATGTTTTCACCCACGAGGATCTTGGTACAATTCAAAGCATGATATAATGAGTGTACCAGTACTAACATACAAACCTTTCGCTTGACAAAGAATCAAGGGTGTGCATCAAATCCTTGGAGCTTCCAATGTTCGTAAATGAAAAATCTCCCGGTTCGAAGAATTTAAATATTAGAGCGTAATTGTTGAGCACTCATATACTTCCACCTCCACAATGTTTGCATTGGGTTCTCCTCCTGTAATGCTCACAGATACTTCCACCATGGCAGTCTTTGCAAATTGTCCGCAGCCTTCCATGTTCACACAGGCTGATCCCACCGCATAGTTTGCAAGTAGACTTTCGTCTTGCATGCTCACAAACACGACGAACAGGTGATACTCGGGATTTTGTGGATATGTGTTGTATTCTGGACTCAGGTTGTTGTATAGGTTCTTTCGTGACGAGAGACGTTACGAAGTTGTCATTGGTTTTAGTTTTCATTGCTTGCAGGGCACATTCTGTACATCTTGAACGACGTCGTTGATGAAGACAAATACTTCCACCACCACACAGTCTGCATAACGTTCTTCGCTTGAAATGAATACAAATACTGCCACCAACACAAATTATGCATACAGTTTTCCTGCGATGATGTTGACAAATCATAATCGGCTAACAGACTAATAATACAAGTAGGCGTGTTCGGTACGCCAATTACAGGTGGAATGCTGGTACATCCAAAAATTGAGTAAAGCAAATATGGGACCTCGGACCCAGAATTGCAAACTCAAAAGTTGGTGGAATGCACCCACAATTGCATTTCCACCGACTTTTGAAACGAGAGCTTTTCGAATTAATGTACAATGAAATTGTTGTACCAGAGGCCATTTAATGTACGATGAATAATTTGTACCAGAGGCCAATTTGATGTACCGCGAGCTTACAACGCGAATTTAATTTCAAATTCTTGTCTTCACCAATTGCGCGCGCATCAACCATGCAGCAACCTATACAGGCTGAAGATCCCCACGGCACTCCACGGCAACCTATGCAGGCTGAAGATCCCCACGGCGCTCCACTACGTGTTGGAACAGGCGATGAAGGACCTAATGCACTAGGCGTGGGAGAGCCATCTGAACTGTCCCATGCGGCCATGCAATTCAAGGGGGATGGGGAACAGCGCATGGTGGAGATCATCAAATGTGTCATGCAATACAACGATGGTGCCATATTTGAATGGGGGAAGAAGGAGAAGACGCTGAAGGAGGCTCAGGAGGCGCTCAACGGGCATCCTGTGTTTGCAGGGCAGCTGAAGTTGAACACCTTGAAGGACAAATGGCGCAAGATTGAGAAACATGCTGAGGAAATCGCTAACGGAGGTGAGGAAAAATGGGTGAAGCTGTGGCAGAATGGTGGCGGGGAACTTTCAGAGATGCACCAGCTCATGCTCGATCTGGCCGGGCGGATGAAGGCTATGAAAGACAGGAAGGAGAGGGAGAAGAGGGATGCTCTGGATGAGGAGAATGACGCCAGGGAGAGGCTACAGGGTGCTATGGAGACCACCGCTAAACGTTGTGGTTATAACATCGCAGCACAGACTGAGCAGTGCTTAACTCCCTCCCCCGAGCCTGTAGATCCGAGTTCCGAGGAGGATAATTCTGTCTTTCGGTCTACAGAAGCGCGCCAAGCAGGATCCAGCTCTGTATCCCAACGGAAAAGGGTCCAACCGCAAAAGCGGCAGCCCGTCCTCCGACCATGTTGGGGGCGTTCTCAGTCAGCAAGACCGCCTGTGCGATCTACTGGAGACCTCTCAGGCAAACGACAGAACCGTTATGGAGCAGTTTGGGAAGGCACAGGTCCTCAAGGCCGAGGCAGACATCATCAAGGCCCAGGCAGACCGAATAAATGCGGAAGCTATTCGCGCGCAGCGGGCGGCCGATGCGATGAACGCCTTTCTGGCTTTTCATGACAGGGGTATGAACATCCCAGATTATCTGATGAACATGCTGAAAGGGAACGACTAACGCTAGAGGTTTTCTTTATTGAAACTCATCTGCCAAGGTCCCAATCTCCGGACACTTAGCCTCCTGGCGGGCCTCCAGGGGGTCTGAGGCGGGGCTGAAGGCTGCAGTCGGTCTACTGACCGGCCCGGCCGGCAGGATCCGTCGAGAAACAGGGGGGTCAAGGGAGGTTTTCTTCCCCCTGGGAGAAATGTCCTATGGGTTTTTGGATCTGCGATATAAAAAAGTCTTGTCTCGGTCACGTGATGTGTCACGTGACCGGTCAGGTGAGCCTGTCAGCCGGGTCACGGCCCCTGTCAGCCGGCTGACATGTCACGGGCCTGCTGACACGGTCCGCTGACCGGTCACGGCCGCCCGGAGAGATCAGGCCCCCGGCCAATCTCCGGACACTTAGCCTCCTGGCGGGCCTCCAGGGGGTCTGAGGCGGGGCTGAAGGCTGCAGTCGGTCTACTGACGGGCCCGGCCGGCAGGATCCGTCGAGAAACAGGGGGGTCAAGGGAGGTTTTCTTCCCCATGGGTGTCACACCTCGAAGATTCTCGAGTGGACCTTCAAGCGCAGTTCAATAAGAACTCACGTTGGATTTCTCTACTAAGAGGGAAAGCGGTGAAACAGAAGGAGATCTAACTCTCTTTTATTTCTTTCACACACACACACAAAACAAGACAAGACGATACACACAAAGACGTCTCAACAATCGTGGCACACACACGAAAGGGGAAGAGGACCACCTAGCTCTGACGAGTTTCATCCTTTTATAGCTTCGAGGAATGAGCCAGGGGTGCCGTCTCTTGGCTACAGAAAGGAGGGGTGTCCTGTTCTTGGAAGTTGACAAGCATCCCTTCTGACCTTCGAGAGGATACCATGCTCTCTCGCAGGGAAGAGAACCCCGTCCTTGCATGGCAGCAAGCTGTTTCCAACGGGTCGTACTGCACAAGACGCACCCCTTCTGTTTACCTTGTAAGTCCCCCACGGGTACACGGTTGCTGCAACAAAGGCCTCCACAGGGGTCCTTTCAGCAGCTTCACACTGGAGTAGAGTATCCTGGGTCATCCAGGAGAAGTCAGCTTCGAACACGAGTACGAGACAGCCAACTGTCCTTTCATCCTGATAGGCCTTTGTCTGACTCGGGCTCGGTTCCTATGAGCTCTGACACGCTCTTCTCTGCGCTTTCTTGGAGTGCTCAGGACTCAGAAAACTTCGCTTTCTCAGCTTGTCAAATCTGTTTTTCTTCTGACACGCTCCAGGCGCAGCACGTAAAATTCCTAATTGAGAGGCGCACGACGCTGCAGAAGCATCTTGGCTCGTGCGATGCTGTTCATATTTCTGAAGCAACTGACGGAGCGCCGGTGTACGCGAGAGATGGGCAACAGGTTCCCAAGTGTCGTCGGCGGAGGAAAATCCCTTCCAACGAACCAGATATTGCTTCGCACCATTACGTTGACGATGATTGATGATGCGAGCCACTTCGTAGAATCCAGGGACAGGTTGGGAAACCACAGGCTGTTGCAAATGATCTTTCCTGCGCACATGGGGGCGTAGGAACTTGGCATTAAAAACATCTTGATCCATGCGAGGGAAGCGCTGGCGAACATCAACTCGATAATTGTTGTTGTTGCAAACCTCGGTGATTGGGAAAGGACCAATGTATCGATCTCGAAATTTGCGAATTTCAAACTGCTGATTGAATAAACGCGCGTCGATCCAGACCAAATCACCAACTTGCCAGCGAAGCGGGCGGCGAGAAGGAAGTAGACGCGTCTCTGCTCGATTGGCGATCGAGGCCAAGGTATCTCGAACAAGGTTTTCACCTGCACGTATGTTGTCGACAGTCGTGCGGGCTTGAGGAAGAACCTGATCAAGGGTCAAGTCCATAACTGAGCGCGGATTCTTGCCGTATTCCACTTGAAAGGCAGATAACCCTGTTTCACGACGGGGAGCATGATTGAGGGCAAACTCAATGAATGGAAGATGGACTGTCCATTCAGATGAACCCTGAGCGAGTTTAGTGCGGAGCATATCCAGAATGGTTGCATTGATCCGTTCAACGCGACCATTGGCCTGGGGATAGTACTTGGAGGAGTGGCGTACCTGAACGCCTAGCGTCTGAAATACTGTGTCCCAAAAATGCGAGGAGACATTTGGCCCATTATCCGAAAGGATCGCAGCAGGAAGACCACGAGTGCGATAGAAGTATTGGAGAAATAAATCCACAAGTTCCTGGGTCGTAGCAGACTTGTGAGTTGGAGCCAGCGTGACATGTTGCGAGAACGAGTCCAACATGACGAAGAGAGAATCATGACCTTGGGAGGTAGTCGGAAGTCCGCTGAGTAGATCGACGGAGATGACGTCAAATTTGTCAGCAGGAACGTCATGCTCTTGGGCAAACCGATGGGTTTCTGTTTGTAGTTCTTCGCAGCCTGGCAAATGAGGCAGGAATGCACGTAATTTTCCACGTCACGCTTCATGTTATTCCAGTAGACTTTGGCAACAAGTGAGAGGTAGGTCTTGTCAGAACCAACATGTCCGGCATCATCGTGTGCAAGGCGTAGTACAGCCGCGCGGATAGCGGTAGGAACACAGATCCTCGTCCTGCCGGTAGAGTCAACATAGTAGAGCAAGTCATCCGAAAATTCAAAATGACGACAACCCGGTTGGCCAAGCAATTCACCGTCTTTGCCCAATTGGTATAAAACCTGAAAATCAGGACAGGTGGAGTAGTTCTGCATCAGTTGGGAGACGAACGAGGAATCCGTAAGCATCTGAACGGTATGAAGGCCAACGAGAAGATCCCGAGCAATGTCTTCAGCACGCATAGCGCGCTCATGAGCCTGAGTCAGATCAGCGGGTGATTGGGGAGCGAACGATGGAGCAGGCGAGTCGCCTGAGATCCGACTGAGGGCATCAGCAACGACGTTAGTTTCGCCAGGGATGTGGTGGATCTCCATGTCGTACTGAAGGAAGGTAGACAACCAACGAGCCAGGCGGGGAGAGAGTTCAGACTGGGTGTTCAACCTGATCAAGCTGTGGTGATCGGTACATACACGAAAGCGACGACCAATCAAGTAGTAGGAAAAATGGCGGAGACTTTCCTTGAGAGCAAGAAGCTCACGCTCATAGGTGGAGTAATTGCGTTCGGCGGAGGAGAGTTTCTTGCCATAGAATGCAACGGGATGTTCCTCGTTGTTTTCATCGATCTGATGAAGCGCGGCTCCAATGGCCAGGTCGCTAGCGTCTGTGTACAGGATGGTCAGCCGATCAGAACGGAAGTGAGACAAGACTGGAGCCTGCGTAAGAGCTGTCTTGAGCGCGGCAAAAGCAGTCTCAGCAGACCGAGTCCGTTTAACGAAGACCTGGTGGTGGCGGAGGCGCTCCAGTAGGAGACGCACCTGCTGTAGGTGTGAACGAGGATTACCCATGGAAAAGAGTAAGACATCATCGACGTAGACTAAGACGTTGGCCATACCTGCAAGGATGCCCTGTGAGAACTTCTGGAAGGCAGCTGTGGCCGTTTTCAGACCAAAGGGCAGAGCGCGGAATTGGTAGGATCCTTGTTCAGTAACAAACCCAGTATATTGAGAGCTGTCAGGAGTGAGAGCTAGCTGCCAGAATCCCGAGGCCATATCCAGCTTGCTGAAGTAGAGGGTATCCGTACTGGACTCAGTACGCTGCGAGAGCACCCGCCCGATCCGTTCCATGAGCTCGGTGGGGACGGGAGGCGGAAAACTGTCGTCGAGGAGGTGATTGTTGACTCCTCGATAATCAATACAAAAACGAAATTGAGGGACTCCTTCAGAGGAAAGACCTTTGCGAACAAAGATGACGGGACTCTGCCACATGACATCATTGTTCCGTTCGATGATGCCACGTGCCAACAAGAAGTCGATCGTTTTAGCGAGCTCCTCCTGGAGCGTCGCAGGAAGTCGGTAGGGACGACGACGAATTGGACGAACGTCATCAGGAACCCGAAGGACAACGTCATACTGCCCCCGCGAGACAGGTGGCTGGATTGGTAGTTCGTCCACCAGAACATCGGAAAAATCCTCGAGTAGCTCCTGCAAGGCCTGAGCTGCGAGCGGCGAGTCCGACGAGGCGACCTGAGAGACCAACGAACTGGTAGAAACAGGCGAGGAGACGGTCGCCATGACCCAGGGCATCATATCCTCAGGTGGAGGAGGCTGAAGCGTGTTCCAGTCCGCATGCCAGGGAAAAATCAAACACTGGGCTTGCCGCATAGCCGCGGAGCCAGGACCAGGGATGTGAAATGCGAGCGGAAGGCGTTGACGCCCCGCAGTACCATCCTGCGTTGGAATAGTAACGAGCTTGGAATGAAAGTCGATATTCATTTTCATCTTGGCAATGAACGGTTGGGACAAGATCGCCGGCAGTGATGCTGGAGAGTCCAGAATGAAGAACGTTTCTTGCGTTCGAACGTTGGTACCTGCAATGCGAAACGGCAGGAGACAGGTTTCACGAAGCACGACCTTGGCGTCGCCATGCGCGAACTGAGCGGTGAGCGTGGCGGGAATACGCTGTGTGGTCAATTGGAGCTGTCGCGCAACCTGACGCGAGATCACACTGATCTCAGCACCCGAGTCAAGCAAAGCCAGGATCTCGGAAGTAGCAGCTGGCACCGGAGAGGTGAGTGGTACAATGGGCAGATAGAGAAGCGATCCTGAAGACGCCCCGTGCTCCTGAGAGCCAAGGGAATGGAGTGCAATCGGATGCAAATGTACCTCGAGAGCATCACCGTCCAGAGGCACTTCATCTTCCAGTTCTTCAGCAAAATGCACCTGAGGACGGCGCTTAGGCGTCTTCGAGCGAGCAGCAATCTTGTTAGCTGCAACGGACGGAGCAGCCTTGCGGTCGTCGGAAGTCTGAACAGCGCCAAGCAGAGGCGGAGAGGAGGAGTCGGACGACTGCTCACGTTCAGGACTCTGACTGCGGCGGGTACGACGACACTCGGAAGATCGATGTCCGAGTTTGCCACAGTTGTAACAACGGA